TTTAACCGCCCTGAAACTCCGAAGCACCTCCCAGCGAACCTGGCTTGCATATTAATACACCACCACCATTTTATTAGATTTGATATTCATACCAATCTTATACCATCAATTTTTGCCACAAAGCCATTTGTCGTATAACTCATGTATACGCTTCTCATTTCATATTACTTACCAGAGGTCACGGCTTCCTCTACCGTCCTCGGTATCTTTATGCATCGTCTCTCCCGCCCTCGAGCACCTACTCGAACTGAGTTTCCTCCTTTATAAGTTTAATCGCGCGCAGAATTTGTCTTTCTCGAATTAAAAGAGTATTTATAATGTTCATGCCCACTCTGTTTTTCAATTTCGGCTAGCTTTCTTTTAATATTCGCATCGCTGCACGGCGCGGAATAAACCATTTAATTTACATTCATAACATAAGCTATTAAATACCAAATCCGTAACAATACATTACTGATGCAATATGACTGTGCAGAACTGAGCAAGGCTGAATAATATGATCTGATATAATACTGATTAATACTGCTACATTACTGATTCATTTGATATAAAACACTGATTATTAATACTGATTAAATGGGAATGATTTTGCACAAGTCGGTTAATTAAATCCACGAAATAATACGTTACAAAGACTCAACATATTGCGAATTAAAATATCACAGATCAATGCTCTACTGTTCCATTACTTATACATTACTGATGAAATATAACTGATACACTACTGATACAAGGCTGATATAATACTGATACAATACTTTTACTGATGTAAGACTGGTATATTGCTAATGCAATATGCATATACAATATTTTATTAATACTCATACAATACTGATATTAATACTCATACAATACTTTACTGATTAATACTGATTAACTGTAAATGGGAATGATTTTGTACAAGTCGGTAAATAAAACCACTGAATAACATGTAACAAAGACTCAAGCTGTTGCGAATTAACACATCACATATGCATTATTGACACATTACTGTTACATAACTGGTATATTACTGATGCAAATATGACTGATAAACTACTGGTACAATATTGATATACTACTGATACTGATACACCGATAAATTCTTTACTCATATACGATTGTTACATTACCGATACAAATATACATATACAATATTTGACTTTTACAATACTGATACAATACTTTACTGGTATTAATACTGACACAATATTGATTAATACAGGTACAATACTCTGCTGATGTAAGACTGCTATATTACTGATACAAATTTGCATATAATCCATACGGAGCATACGTTTATGACAGTAGGAGAATTTACGCTGTCTGACATAAGATCATGGCCCAGCGCAGACAGTTTTTCCATTAAATTGACAATCTTTGTAATCAGATATCTCTGCTTTATGATAAACTTGCAGAAGGCCTGCCTGTTGGTACTTGGCAGCTGAATATGAAGATCAGTTGTCAATGGACAAGTGGTCAGGTAATCCTCTGCTGACCAAATATCTCCGCAGCAGCAGAACTCAGTATGGTTGAGTCCGCGTTTTGCAAAATATTGCGGAAATGGACCATGGTCAGGGATAAATCGGACGATCTGAGGGTTGGAAATGATATGGTCAGTGTCCACATACGCTATGTGATACTGCGTTTGTCGACCGGTTGAGCCCTCTCGTCCCATTCCTTCACCATCGTCCAATGGCCTTCAATCTCAGGCATTTCTTTAGATAAGAAATAGGCCATGGGATATTGACTTGAGTATCTGCATTGCCTGAAGCTGCCTCTTTGGCTAGACTGTCTGCAGTTTCGTTTCCGTAATGCCCAGCATGAGCTTTGATCCACTCAAGTTTAAGCTGATGGGGGAAATGCTCTCTTAGGTCCTGCTGAATGGTTTGGATGATGGTAGATGGATGGTCAGGATTACCTAAAGCACGCAACGACGATAGACTGTCTGTTTTTATAACTGCTTTTTTAATACCGTAAAAGATTAAGTAGTGTAAGGCTTGTGCAATAGCAATCGCTTCACCTTGGAAGACTGAATTTTGAGAGCGCAGTTGACCTTTCCAATGATGTGTAACTATATGATCCCGCAAAACAGCCTGTGTTTTCGTTAATTTTTGAGCCGTCTGTATAATTTCTGGAAGGAAATATTCATCAGAGAAGGAAGCTGGTCGCTGTAACTGTTTGATTGCCTGACACCTCTTCTTCAACTCGTAATTGGAGAGGTAATAATCCCGCTAAAACATTGATTGCATTAGAGGCTGTTGTGCGATAAGCATGAGTTATGTTTAGGGCAAAGGGTCTCTGGATTGCTGACAGATGTCTAATTTTACGGCCCTGCATAGGAAAATGCCCACACTGCTGCTGCATACGTAATAATCTTTTTCGATAACTGTCTTGAATAAAATTTTCTGAATATGTGGGTTAAGACCCCATTTATGCCCCTGTAGCTGCTTCAACCGTCTGGCAATTACCGATGTTCTGGTCTTGAGATCAATTACGTGAGGTATCCAGGTCATCTTTTCATCAAAAAAGTAAGACCCAGATACCTCTGGCTGCATGGCCGTTTTTGTGGTTTTCCCCATTTAACATACGAGCCAGTTTGAATCCTTGAAAGGCATCCCTCCCCTTAGGCAGATAGCCCTCGTGTGCTTTGCCATAATTAAATACACCAACACCATCTTTTCATCAAAATTTAAAACCTAGATACCTCAGTTCTTTAACAATTTCAATCCTTTGTTCATTGAGCATAATACATGGTCTTCGTACCAGTGACCCTCCTTTTTTAGGAATAAACAGAACTTTAGATTTTTGATCGGCTCTAGTTAGCTTTAGTGATGTACACAAAGAGTGGAAGAACGTGCATGCATCATTGCAGTTGGATTGCAAATCTTCACGAGATCTTCCTCGCACTATCAAAGCCGCATCATCAGCATATGCGTAGATATTTGTATGTGCTGGCCACTCAGCTGTTAAAACGCTGATGGATGAACGACTAAGAGCTTGCGATCAGAGAGGTAGTGACATAAAGTCCGATAGATGTTAATTGGACAATTAGCATCGTTGAGCGCTTTCCTGATAGCTGGCCACCAAAGGTTATTGAAAGCACCCTTGAGATCAATACTCACGAGTGCAGTGTGGTAGCCATAGTGTCTATTCTCTAGAATAGACTCTCGTATGTCATAAAGCACATGTATAGTTGAAAAGCCAGTCCTAAAGCCATATTGTCTCGAGCTAAGCACGTTATGACTCTGCAGACAGAAACGGAGTCTGTTCATTAAGAGTTTCTCAAAAACTTTGTCCATTGCTGTTCATAAACAGATAGGACGGAAAGAACCTGGATCTGTTGTGTCCCGATTCTTTTTCAAAAATAAAACAGCCCATCTTGAAGTGCTTAGAAAAGGTGCCTGTGCTAAAAGGTTTATTGAAATACTGAACAAAGAATGCTGGAGCTGCGTTTATCATAACTTTTACTATTGCGTAATCTACTCCATCTGGCGCTGGCGCTTTTCTGTGTGGTAACCGTCTGAGCACTGCATGGTGAGGATCTTTCCCTGCAGCGATTTCTGACATACAGACAACCAATTCTAATCATTTTAAACGACGCGCTTGGCTACCTCGGGAAGATGGCCAATAATATCATGACAGCGGCCTGAAGCGGTGCTTCGGCGTTTCAAGTAAAAACAGAGGACCTTTGTGTTAAAGGAACTATTGATAGATATATCAATACTTCTTTTGAAGTGAAACATTTTCCAGATGGTCAAAAACAGCAGCAAAAACAGTTTCAAATGGTCGAAAACAGCAGGATGAAAAAACTTCCTCATTAAGCCGTTAATCATGCGGTAATAAAGAACATGAAAGTGACCAAAACCTCATGTCTTTCAGGCGCTTCGTTTGACTGTTCGAGTGATGGCAAAATCAAGATTTATTGTTTGTACTTATTAGATAAATCCACATTGTCAAAATATTTGATTGATAGGGGAGCAGACGTTTTGATACATGTACAGGTAGAAGTGGACAGGATAGTAACGCTACTGAGGTGCTTTACCAACCCTATAGCTAGAAAAGCCTCTCGCCATTAGCATCCACCTAACAATCGATATCCTCTATCTGCGATCCAGTATTTAATAATCTTTAAGATATAATTTTACATTTCTGTAATTACAGTGTAGTTTTTAACATGATAATTTTGTCTATATTTCATAAGACAGTTCATAGCTCATAATTTTAGCACCTAATTTATATTAATAGTTCATAATTCATGGTAATTTCATCCGTAATTTATAATTTGGTCCATAATCCATAACTGGTTTGGCAATTGGTATGTCATTCTAAAATATCAATAGTTCTAATATATCTGATATTTAAATGTAACATATAGCTCTAAGTCTAATAATGTTCATATCATATCCTTTTACATAGTTAAAATTTTGTGTTATGTAATTGCAATTATACACTATGCCCCCCTAAAGAAAGGAACAGCTCTACATCTCTCGTTCTACTGCGCCAACTGACGAAATTGGCATTATTCTAACTAGAATATATGGCATTATTCTAACATAGGTATTTTGACACAAAATCGGACTTTTTTTGAAATAACATATTAATTTTTTTCATATTTCGATTCGACGACTCAAACTATGCCTAAATATTAAATTGCGAAATTTCTAGTGAGAAATTTAAAAATTTATCTTGGTGCATTTTTTTTTTTTTTTTCCAGTTTGCGCTAAGAACAATTCAATTGGTCGAATTCTTAATTTATAGTAACCTACCTACTTTCCTTTTTTTTTTCATTGATGCACAAGAGGAAAAAAGGTCCATCGTTCATTCTTTCAAATAATTTTAACTACGTGCGTAAGCCACATTTTTGTTGCTATCGCTTATATTAAATACGCCAAATTTCAAAACGCGCCAAAACGTACATTCATGTATTTCTTAGGAAATTTTGAATAAAAAACTCTAATTCTACTCAGCATATATATGCCATTTATGATATAAGAAGAAAAAATTAAGAACAGATGAAATACAAACTAATTTTCTTTATTCAGGCAGTATTATGACTATGTAATAGAAAAGCATATTTTAATACAATTAACTAACAAATACAATACGTTCTTTCAACCTAAGAGGCACAGACAACAATAATACTTTACTCCATACAGTAAGGCATTTTAAAACTACTTTTTCCTTTTCTTCCGTGTTATGTCAGAATCAGTGCTATTTAGGGTCAGATAGCAATATTTTATCCATGCATATAATATACCAAATGCACAGTATGTAGAGGTTAACATCAGTGGAAGAAATGGTAACTTTTTCTCTATGCCAAGAATTTCAGCAAAGATGCTGTGAAACAGTTGCAAAACAATCAGACCGCAGAAGTATAATTTCTCCAGACTGGTGATCAGTGATGATTTCAATCTAAAAGATAATAACTGTAATCAAACTAATAGTATAATTATAATCATAATAAACATATTTATTACACTGATGTTAACTTCTTTCTATATATATTTTTTAAGAATTTCTACATCTACAAGTTATATAAGTTCAGTTGAGGAAATTAAAATTGTAATATGTTATTCAACACACAGTTCTTAAACATCAAAATAAATATAAATAAAAACCGAATACAAATTTGCTTTTCAATTAGATAAATAGCTACTGCATATTCTATTTTTTATTTAAAAAATATATTAAACGCACTTAAGTTATGCAAAAAGGTGGTCATCAAATTATTAAGGCTAACAAAATAAATATTATTATACTGGAGCCCTGTCAAAAAGCTTTTAAACAGCCAGATAAACAGGAACCTCTTAAGTAAGACGACTTATTAACTGAAAAAAGCATATTAGACAATAACTGGTGCATTTAGCATATGGAAATTTTAAAAAATGTCTAATTTAAACACAAATGTTTTAATAGATTCATTGCAAGGAGGCAGAAAAGGAATTCAGAGCTTAATGTTAATGAATTTTTCTCTCTTTTTGGCTACACAGATAATGATTCACTTTCTCTGTGGTTTCAAAGTTTCAGGAACACTGTCAATAAATGTTCAAAATATGGAAATAGCAATACGATCTTTATTAAAAGAAAACACTGCACTGTATTCCTCCTTCATGACATGCGTTACTTTCCCTGACAAACTGTTCAATATTTTGCATTAAACATACTTAACACGATTAACATTAAAAAAAAAAAAACTTCAAACTTTTCCCTCTCCAAAGATCACTTCCCACAAACAAATCTAAGAAATCCAGCCTAAATCAATCATGAAAAATAACACACCTATCAATACAGAACCAACTGGCTTTCAATATGATACACAACAATCACAGTAATAAACAATACCCAGTATTCAAGATAAAATTTTGAATTTATGTATTCATTTCACAATGTTAGACTTAATTGTATGCCCATTATGAGCACACAAATAGTACTTGATCCAATTACTGCATAATATAATGTTTTCTGTAAAAAGACCTTAACAGCAACACAATTCAAAATTCAGATTGCAAATGAAATATAAAGAGTCCGACTAAAAGTTTGAGCAAGAAGCAGAATCTGCCAAAGACTGTTTTATATATGGGGCATTGTATTTCATGCATGCATTTCAAAATAAGCTATTTAAAGCAAAAAGTTGCATGTGAATACATGCATGTTGCTCAAGAAATAAATATCCTTTACTTAATTCCTTAACACTTTCCTGTACATTAGAAATGGGCAATAAAATATTTTGTGTCAATTAACAACTTACAAACCAATAACAGCATTGAAAGGCAACATACAATATTTTACATTAAGGTACAATACATTTATTAAAGAAATTAATGCTTTTACTTCTAGCAGATTTTAATTCATTATTTAATATTAGAATTTAATTCATTTGAATTGTGTTGCTGTTAAGGTCTTTTTACAGAAAACATTATATTATGCAATAATTGGATCAAGTACTATTTGTGTGCTCATAATGGTCATACTATTAAGTCTAACATTGTGAAATGAATACATAAATTCAAAATTTTAGCTTGAGTACTGTGTATTGTTTATTACTGTGAGCTTCCTTAACAAAATGCATTACAACTCACTACAGTGACAACTATTTTCTAGGGTGGAGGATCTATTAGCTGGCAGATATACACAGATTGTCCTGACTGATTTTAATAGTTAATTACTCGGAGTAACCAGTACATCACAATCTAGGCTGTATCAGCTATATCAACTGAAAACTGCATTAAGTCTCTTGAAACTTTCATCTTCGTGGCATGCCGGCATGACTGGCAACATCATGCTATTAATCAATAAAGATCAGCAATCTAAATCTAAAAGACTTTTCAACTTCAAAGATGAAACTTTTATCTATATACTTCTGAAAACATTTACTAATAGTATCTTCTTGGTACTATTAGTAAATTATTTAATGGAAAAAACGCAATAAAGAGTAAATTTCAAATCCAGGAAAAGTTAGTGTAGAATTAACTGAATTTGATTTTGAAACTTTAAAAATTAAGAGATCTTGGAAAGGAAAACTACTTATGTGGAAACTTCTCATTCAAATTCTACTGTATACTACTTATGAAAAATGTATTGCAGCATAACTGATGTAGTTAAGAATATATGAAATGTATGTAATTATCAACTGGATTTAAGTTAATTTCACGTTTTTCATTTGAGAAGGAACAAATCAAAATTTTTAAAAAGAAATAAAGATTTAGTTACACTGAATGAGAAAACAGTGATAAATTAAATATCTAGTGTGTTTATTACTTTTTATTTACTTATTCAATAAGTTTACATATGAAATTCAAGACAATAAGAATGGATTATTATGTACATCAAATGGTACAACACGCAGAACATCTCAGTTACCTACCATGTTCCCTGAGAAAAAGCAGAAAGCATAGATACAATAATCAAAAAGCAAAGTGAACCACCATATAGGGCTGAGGACAAAATGGGACAAAATACCATAACATTTTTAAAATTTCATAACAAAGAAAAACGTAGAATACTGAAGTATAGTTTGCACTATTTTACAATTACAAAATATAATTGAAAAAAATTAATTGCAAAAATTAGTACAGAAGACTTGAAAGGCCTAGAAAAACAGTTTTGCAAATACTTAATATAGCATTTTGGATTCAAAAACTTTTGATTGACATTAATGAGATTAATCATCTGCCACATAAAGCCCAAGTAGAATTTATTGAGCTGTTGAATTTATTGAGCAGTTAAATTTATTGAGCTGTGTCAAATACTCATACCTGCCAACTTTTACGAATTTTTCGTAATTTTTACGAACATGCGTTTGTTTTTACGATTTTACGATCATAATCCATTTTTTACGATTTTTTTCCTTTTTCAAGTGTTTTTAGTGATTTTTGTCGAAATTTTAGACTTTTTCGCCAATTCAGCGATTTTCGCCAATTGCATCGTGTTTTACCGCCAACTACCGACTACTTCGAATCCAGTAACCTGCGGTTTCTCCCAACTCGCCGCTTAACCAGCCAATCCAATGCGCTGAACTTGTTTCCTCAAAGGTCAACTTTGTTAAAGAAGTTGAAGGGAAGAAGAAACAGTCTTCTATTAGCCGGGAGGAAAGGATTTTTTCTATCTTCTTTCTTCGGATTTGAACAAAGCATATTGTAGTTTTGTGTTAAGTACCATTAAGATTTTTGAAAGTGTAAATACCCTTCTACAATCAGCTTTGCCAAATTCTCCCCTGCTTATCCAAATTCTTAATGATCTTTTGAAAGAACTTTATACTAAGTTTGTAAAACCGTCCATTGTGAAAAACAGTGTGTTGATTTGTGTTGCCTATAATAGTTTGGCAAATCAAAAGGATGAAAATGATCTTATAATTGGAAATCAAACCAGGGAACTTGTAAATTCTTTGAAAGACCATGAGAAAAAAGAATTTTTTCAATGTGTTAGAAAGTACTTTTCCTCAGCCATTGTAAGGAAGTTTCCTTTGCAAAATGAAGTTCTTTTAAATGCTGAAGTGGCAAATTTGAAACAAATTGAAAATTCATCTTTTGAAAAGATTCGTTTTTTTATTGATAAATTATCATTTTTGTTAGCAATTAAAGAAAATGAATGCCATAATGATGCTTTAGATGAACTACAGAACCAATTTTCTGCTGCACAGTTTGAAGACTGCCAGTTCTAGAGAAGTTAACTTGATGTCCTCGTAGGTACCTTAAAAAGAATAAAAAGAGCTGATGGAACACCAAAATATGATAGACTAGCAAGAGTTTTATGTGCTATTCTCGTAATTCCACACAGTAATGCTGAGTGCTAGAGAGTCTTCAGTGTTGTGAAGAAAAACAAAACTATGTTTCGTTCTTCAATTTCACCAAAAGCTCTAGAAAACATTTTAATTGCTAAATGTTATGAGGAAACTAATTGTTATGACAGGAAATTTTCCAAAGAATTTTTGGCTAAAGCCAAAAAATGCACTCTAAATTCATTGCAATAATTTTTTTGTGTAACATTAAGTTCTTGTTTTATGTTTGCTAATAAATTTTTTAGTTACTACTTAATTGAGATTTACTAATGTAAGTGCAATTTTCTTTTTTCTATTTGTATAAATTGTTATTTTTTTAATATCAAAGTATGATATTAATTCTTCGTGTTCTTCTGAATTTTGGAGAAATCTTCTGAATTTGGGGGAGAAACTTCTGAATTTTTATCTTTAGAGGTTGGCAGGTATGAATACTGCTAATTTGTTAGGCAGCAAAAAGATGATTTTCTTTCATTAATTCATATAATACTTGAAATAAATCCTAAAACTACTTCTTTTCAAAAATATATATTGTTTACCAAAGAAATGAATTATTTATGGGAGAATATTTATATTTTTATCTTGATTTCATATTTAATATCTGGGTCATGGGAAAATTTCAGTGATAAGAAAGAGTCATGCATAAAAAAAGTTATAGAAGCACTGGTCTAATACTACAAGATGTGTTCGAAAAGTTCGGTGATTTGTCTCATAATTAAAAAACCGCGCTGGTTAGGATCTTGCACTCACACAGACGCAGTGAGAGAATGTCATTTAAAGCCATCTAATGGCCATTTTATGACAGATAAGAGGAAGCGCACGCTATGAGCAGTTTAACACAGTTAGTGTGAGAAAGATTGTCAGTGTGACATGGAGCAATGCATAAAGTTTTGCTTCAATTTAGGCAAAACGGCGAAGGAGACACATGACATGTTAGTGAAAGTTTACGGTCAGGAAATCTGCTCCATGACAACGCCCGGCTGCATACTGCGTTCCGTGTAACCCAATTCCTCGACAGGCACCAGGTTCCAGTTTTGGATCACCCTCCATATTCTCCAGATCTGTCTCCTGCGGACTTCTTCCTGTTTCCCCGCCTCAAAGGAGTTCTGAAAGGCCAACATTTTTCCAACATTACTGAGATCCAACAACGTGTGACAACGGTGCTTCGAGCCATACCGAAAGAAGCATTTGCAGACAGTTTCCAACAATTGTACTCCTGATGTCAAAAGTGTATTGTTGCTAATGGCGAATACTTTGAAGGCCAGTAAAGCTATTTTGCTTGTTTCTCTTGTTTCCTTTTTTTTATGGTAAAATTTACTGAACTTTTCGAACATACCTTGTATAAATACGCTTGCAGTTTTCCCAACCCCGGAAAATTCATATATTATATCTTATATAAGCTGCATACATATACCACTTCTCCTCTTAATATATGTTAATATTATGTTATAACACCTGACAGGTTAACTTTTGCGGCAATCAAACATTAAAAAAATTTTCCATTGTAAATTAATGGTACGGGTATTTTTTTTAAACCATTTCAGTTTGTGAAATGTGTATTACAAAACTTTACTGGGGAAATCTACAAATACATATTATATATAAACTTATCTAGTTTATTATTTATTATTTTAATGGGTTATTTTCTATTTTGCAGTCATACATGAATTTTTGCAAATCAAATATGAATCATGTGACATTTAAGTTTTCTAATAAATGATTTGTGACCAGATCAACAAACATATCAAAAGAGAAGTGATTGCAATAATCAAACAAAATGTACATTTTCATTACTTTTGCCTTAAATTTACAGCCTCTTTTTAAGAGTAATTAACCTTCAAAATTAATAAATAGTTTCCTTTTATGAAAATTTTTCAGTCACAAAAATACCATCACAGCCTGACTGATTTTCACAACAAACCTGCCTCAGCAACAGTTGTCATTAAGCATTAAAGCAGCATTTCTAATAATTTAATTATCTTGCAAAAATAGTTCTCCTATCTAAAGTTTTCCATAATACTCCTGGGGAAAAAAAAGGTTTAAAAATATTATACGTGGTCTTCCATTACTTTAATAATATTGCAAATGCTTACTTGTATTAGAAAAAACTTTGTGCAGAAATGTGTTTGAAAGCTGCATTGTATAATGTAAGTGACAAAAGTCAATTACATTAAGTCATTTAACAAGAGACGATTTATTCCAAGTTAAGATGACCAGAGAGTGAGTAAATTCAAGGCTAAAATTTTCAGTGTTTTCTTGAATATTTAATATGAGTTTCGGAATAATTTCCTTGAGAAATTTCTCTATGAAGTGAGACAATATATAATATTTATACAAAATTTAATCATTAACCTATTTTGTATTTATACTTTAAAATTAGTTATACTTACTGATGCAGTTCATTAAGAGAGGAGAACATGTACACTGCATGAAGTAATAACAGCAAAATTTTCAACAGGGTCTCTGAAACAATAACAAAAAAAGTTATATGGATATTATGAAATGAAGAAATTTATACTACTGTAGTTTTTTAGCCTTAAGTTACAACAATTTTCATGTAACAGATTTCACAAGATAAAACTATTACTAATTCTAGTTATGATGGTCAATATTTTTTTTTTTTTACTTTCACGTGGATAAATATTTTGGAGATTAACTTCGGATTTAAAATAACAAGAAGTTATTTTCAGATATTTAATAAAATGCTAAATATATATGAATTAGATGGGAAAAAAAAATACTCACTGAACTTTAAAAAAAAAAAAAAAAGAGTCATTTTTAAATAACTGACATACCTCCTTCTTTATGTAGAAGAGGAAAAAGAGAAAAATGTCCAACAACTGAGAGGAAAGCAAATATTTGTGCTTCTTCTTTATAAAAAACTGAAGTAATCCTATGGATAAAAAATAAATAAATACAACAAATTATCTAACATAGCATGATATGACTTACACAAATATGTTATATCTTTTTCTACACTAGAAAAAAAAATCCCTTAAAATTACTTTCAACTCTTAGGCAAACACTACATAAACATTATTATTAACTACAATTCAGTACTAATATTCCCACTCTATTAACATAAAAATTTTTGTATATACTCTTTAAAATAAAGAAATTTTTCTTAAACCAATTCACAAATCCATTCAGCTCAGTGCAATCCAATGATGCAGGTAAATGAAATTCTACCTTAGTTTAATTTTTTTTTTTTTTTTTTAACTATTTCTATTACTCAAGTACTATAATTTCCGGTGTACAATGCACATCTATAATTTTAAGCTACATTTTTTTAATTTTTAGGTATATTTTCCATATAACGTGCACACAATTCTTCACGAAGAAACCTAAAAGATACATATGCAATGTTTTTATCTTTTGAGGTCACTTATTCGAAGATTTGTTCTAGCCTTTCGAACAATGGTATACAGAACTGACAAGCGATAAGAGGAACAATATGTGTGTGGGTTAAATGCTTGAGGGAGTAAATATTCCTGCAAAGAAGGTGGATTGTACTCAATGCAGACATCCAAAAGAATGCTACTGTAGGGTTTCGAGAAAAGGAGGATATAATTTAGAGTAAGAATGCACTTCCAACCTGAATGAATTCATGGAATTAGGAGTTACATGTTTTCTCTTTCTGTAGTTATTTGAAGCTATGATTTTGAAGTGGAAATTGAAGCTTTACTAAATCGCATTTGCTTTAGTTGAAATATAGTTGACATAGTGTTCTTTTTAATAGTAAATTTGGCTCCCACAAAAAGAAACAAACACAGTCTGGTTTTAAATGTAAAGCCATTCATTTTGCAAAAGAAAATGGAAATTGTGCTGCAGCAAAAATGTTCGGTATTGGTGAAAGCTTTACACGTGAGTGGAATAAAAATGAAATCAGAATAGTTAATATGTCAAAGAATAAATGTATTTTACATAACAAAATGGCCTTTCATAAAAGAAAGTGTAGCGAGCTGGGTCCTAGATAATTTCCAGAATGGATTCATTGCAACAAGAAACAATATTCATTTATTTACCTTAAAGTGGGCCAAAAAGAATGCAAATAAAAATGAAAGCTTTAAAGCAACTTTGAGTTGGTGAAGTAGGTTTGTGACATGGAATAAATTTAGCTCTATAAGAAAAAAATAAAAGTTACATAAAGGTTTCCGAAAGATTTGGATAACAAATTAATTAGTTTCCAGAAGTATGTTATTGACCTATGAAGACAAAAAAAGTACTTACTGTCGCATATTGGAAATATGAACGAAGCTTCAGTAACGTCTGATATGATAGGAAATAAAACAATTGATGAGAAATGAACAAAAACAGTTCACATAAAAACAACAGACCACGAAAGATCTCACTTCACCACAGTGCATTCCTGCTTAGTGGATAGTTCAAAATTAAAACCCACGGTTATTTTTAAAAGAAAGACGATACCAAAATTTAATTTGCCAAATGGTGTTTTTATTCATGTTCAGGAGAAAGGATGGACAGATGAAAATGGTGTGAAACTGTAGATAAGAAATGTTTGGCAAAAGGATGCTTTTCCCTTAAAAGAATCCAGAAAGTCTTTTAGTCTGATCTCATCTAATGGATAATACAATGAAATTATTGTAAAAGTGTAATACAGACATGGCAGTTACTCCAGGCGAATTAAAGCCTTTAGATGCGAGTATCAATAAACCATTCAAAGAAAATTAAAAACAATAGTGCAATATGTGAATGTTAGAAGTTAAAGAAACATTTACAAAAGGAACCCAAATGCATCACACCAATTTAGAAATAGTGTGTGAGGGGATAATAAAGGCACTGAATGAAATTAAACCTTTTGAGCATTAATGATACGAAAACGAACTTTAGAGCATTAATGATACGAAAACAAACTTTTGAGCATTAATAATATGAAAGACATTAATGTGCACATTAAAGTAAATCAGTAAATCAGTAATACAAATCAGCAAGTCTTTGACATAAATCATTTAAAAAGTGCAGAATATCTATCAATCTAGATGGAACAGAAGATGATTATCTATTTATGGATCAGAGTAGCAATGATTGTGAAGATAAAACAAAATTCGATGATGTGCTTAAGATAAAACAGAAGATAAATTTGATGAACTTTTCATGTTATCCAATAATAAACATTTTTTAAGTTCGTAAGGTATATAATTTTTTTCTTATTAACAGCACTTAAGTACATATAGATTTTTTTTTTAATTGCTCATTCCTTATTTTTAAATCTACCATTTTAATACACGGCATATAACGTGCGCCCACAAATTTCAATCTTATTTTTGTATTGAAAGTGCATACTACATGCTGGAACATATGGTAAGCCTAACTCTTTCTCAATTTAGATCACATGTAATGATTTACCTTAAAACTCATTTTAGTCTGTGCCAAAATATCATCATAAATATACCTACAATTTTCTTTTCAATCAGAAGTCTCTAAACACTAACTACAAGACAACTAAAGATAAATTTGCATTGAATATTTGGTAACCATTTTATTCATGTTTTTAAGTGTCAAAATGATATATTGCTGAACTTTTTATAAATTAGATTATTTGTGTGCATGAGCAAAACCTGCAAATACCAACACTGTGGTATGGGAAACCTGCAAAGATTATTTAACCGTACCTGCATATGTTACCGCTAAAGTGCGGAAATCAGTTATTCTGCAGATTAACTAAGGCGATTCGTTAAAATGCAGAAAATTGTTTCATTTCACAAATTACCTAAATAATTTCCACGTTACCTACTAGACACTTGTTAAAGTGAAAATAACACCTTTGCTGGAACAACAGCAACATTTCTGTATGCTTAAAACAGCGGCCACTTATACTTTTTAATTGTTGATCAGGCAGGATTTCAGAAAATGTTACTGCAAATCTAAATGTACCACAAATACGTGTGCGTGTCGCAAAATCCAACCGCTATGTAATTCAAAGTGTCACCAATCTTTAGAGTGCACTAATAATTGAGCATAATTTTATCCTATGTTTTGCCAAATTCATTTCCTTAATTGTAATAATATTTTAAACCGTTTTATTCTTTTCATTATAGTTTTCAATTGATTAATGATTGATTCTATCAACTAATTTATTGATTGTATTAACTTGATTTTTTAGATATTGAAAAATAAATAAATAACATTATGTTAATTTAAGCGTACAGAAATGTTGCTGTTGTTCCAGCAAAGATCTTATTTTCAGTTTAACATTTGACTAGTAAGCAATATACGAATTAGTGAATACCTAGTAGATAATGTACAAAGTGGAGGGAGAGAGAAAGCAAATGAGAGAAACGAACTTTTGAGCATTAATGATACGAAAGACATTAATGCACATTACCTCAGTAAAATGCGGGAAAACTCTTGATTCCAAACTTTAATGAAGCAAATCAGTTAATCTGCAGATTAGCTACGTAATGTGCACATTAACGACTGTCACACTTGAGCAGTAACACATACATTCCTTTCTGGCCTGTGTCATATGGGAACTAAGCAGCAAAAACTCAAGAGGATATTTCATCTAAAATCTTAAAATGTGTAATGACTGTTTTCCAGAATAAGTATTAATTATAAAAAAGAAATGAAGAATCAAAGTAGATTCTACTACTGGAATAAATCTACATAAATTTCATATCCAAGAACAATTTAAACTATTGAGTTGCAAATAAGGAATAGGTTACTCAATGTTACAAATAAGGAATAGTTTACCACAGTAAATTAATTCGTTGTCCTTACTTTTTTTACAAATAGAAAGGCATCAATATGATAATAAGCAATATTTATTTCAACCACTGAAAAGAACTTTCCATTCACATCACTTAATCAGAAGATGCTGATTTATTCAATCTCATAGGCAATTAAGTTGCAGCATCAATATAATTAAGTTATATAAATTCGAAATTTTCAGTATATATTCTACAACATTTGTGACACCATATGAAAATTTAAAACAACTTTTTAATTTTAAGTTCAATTTTTATTCTTATGATTTTATGGACACTATTATTTTATCTGAGAGATCTGGAAATGCAGTACTTGCTCTAGAAATTCAGCTTGATAAATATACACAACATTAAAAAATATAACAAAATACACTGATTTTGTAAAGACGTTAGGTATTTTGGAAGCAGGAGAGATGAAAAATGAGCAACAGCCTTGCCGGGAATCGAACCATGGACCTCTGGAATACGCACACAGCGTACTGATCACTACACTACGAAGGCAGGAGAAATATCTTATATACTCCGCCTTATAAAGGGCAATTGGGGTTAATGGGACCCAGTTGCCAAATCCTGGGTGTGGAGAATCATCATCCATCACTCTTTTAGTTCGGGCACCACTGTAGACACATTAGGTATTTTGGAAGCAGGAGAGATGAAAAATCAGCAACGCCCTCGCCGGGAATCGAACCACGGATAGCATACAAAATTTCAACTCCATAATGTTAATTGAATTTTGTATATATTTAATGACAACACTTTAATAATATACTTGACTTCTTCTTTTATAATTAAAAACCGTGGTTTGATCCAAATGAAATTCCTACATTTTTCCTGGTTTTCCAGAATTTGTACATTTTACAAAATTCTTATATATAGTTTTTTTTTTTTTTTAATTGGATTTATTACCTATCAAATTTTTAACACCACCTTAATGAAGATAAATTTCTAAGCATTTTTTCCAAAATTTTAGAGATTTTTACCGTGAAAATCTGAAGATAAGATATACTTGAATTTATATATTGGTGGGTTTTGAAATTTGACATCTTTTTTATAAGTAAATGTGGTTTACACATTTTGCTGCACTCTTCAGTTAATTGCCACAGTTATATTTAATATTAAATTTCTAAGCAAAATTTTACTAAGAATTTTTCTTGTGGAATGTATTCTCATTTTTACTAATGATACATAATAAATATTTATTAGTTTATTATTTACAGCTATCTAAAAACCCGGCATACACAAGAACTTATAGATATTCTGAAAAATGTAACTTTTTAAATATTGGTGTCAGTTCCTGAATTAATAGTCTAGTAAGAATGTCAAAATATGCATACAGATTGAAGCATTTAATTGAAGTGCAAGTAAAAGTCAGAAATCGGAATAGATTTATACAGCTAGATCCAAACAAATACAGCAATGGAATTATCCAAAAAATTAAGATACATCATTACATGTATACAGACATTTACTTAATACATTGTTTAATAATATCCAAATCTGAAATATTGTAGAAATTTAAGCTTTGGTCTTCACTCAAAAATTTGCCACTGCTAAATTAAATTAAATTTTTCAGAATTTGTGATTCTGTCTTCTTTTCCAAAATCTGGTCTCAGTATCTTAGTTTAGATTAGGTAGTCAAATATAACAAAGCACATAGGAGAAGGATGCTTTCATTGAGGACTTCCTAATTGTTTGCATTTACATTATACATGTGGAAGTTAATTACTATTATCAAATATAAATTACACTAATTACTACATTACACATGTGGAAAATGCAAGCAGTCTGTTTCCCTAGTTTCAAACCCAGAAGGAATTACCAGTATTCAGTGGTCTTTAACCAAACATCCAATGGTAAGTCTTGCTTAAATTAGGAGCCATGTAATTTGTCTGTAATTTACTAATTGATTTGTAAATAGTTTTTATTTCCAATGGCTAGGCAAAAAATACAAAGAACTAAAATCTTACAAATATAGGAACAAATAATAGAACAAACAATAGAACTAAGAACAAAAAGACCGAAGTCATTGCGCTGTTGCCTCCCATTATCTTGACTCTTTGGTAAGACCACGAAGAGCTCCACATTGAAGCAGGTGGTCCCTGTCCATTTCTTCTCCAGAATTACAAAGTGGGCAAATAGGATCACTTGAAATGCTCATGCGGTGCAGGTGGGCAGCAAGACAATCATGTCCTGTAGACAGACAGAAAGCCACAACTGCACTGCGTCTTGGAACTTTCAGAAATAAGAGAAGGACTTAGCATTCTCCAACTTTTTAACACTGTGCGAGCCTGAAGATCTCATAAGATATTAGACGTAAGTAAACTTTTTAAAAACAGTTTAATCCTCCAATAAGAAATGGCTGTATTAGTATGCAATAGTAAGTTGGCACCTCTTTTTGCAAGCAAGTCCACTTGTTCATTGCCTCAAAGGCCACAGTGACCAGGCACCCACTGGAGAACGATTTGTTAACCCTTTATTTCCCTGTCAAACTGAGACAGTAAAAATGTGTAGCCATTGAATAAAAGGATATCTAGTTGCAATGGTCTCCAAAGCGAGACACTTGGTGCAACATCTCTCTTTCTGTGGATGGTTTCTACTACGTCTAGCCTTACTTTGACATTAATCACCTCCAAGGGGCTTCTAGTTGTCAAGAGAGGTTGTACATTACCAGGAATCTCAAGAGCTTTCATGTCCAGGACTATTTGAAAAAATCATTGGGATTTTAATTTCCCAGGCTTCACTGCGTAGTCCCTCTAGTAGGGGGACTACATAGTGAAGCCTAGGAAATTAAAAGCTCCTCCATCCGCAGTAGCTTTTCGTAGAGAACCAAGGCCCTCATTATCATAACATCCCAGATGAATTTATTTCCTGTCAACAATAACATTGCATCAATAGATGTGGACTTCACAGCTCCTGTAATCAAGCAAAGAGCTTGGTTTTGCATTACTTCAAGTTCAGTAACCACCGATTGTGGGGCAGTGATAAGAGCTTGACAACAATACATCCTTAAAAGCAGGATATAAGTATTAAATGTAACAGACCAAACACACACACCCAAATACATCCTTGCTAGAACATGCTTAAGAATATTAAGCCTATTTGAAACATTAAGCTGCTCAAGCATGAAGCTTTCAACATGAAGCTTCAACATGAAACTTTTGAAACTTTATTATTATCAAAAGTCAATCCCAGATAAGTAAAATTGTCCATGTTGGTAATCAAAGTATCTTGGTACTTTAACTCTGGGTGAAAATTTTCAAATGACTGTGAAGCTGTCTTTTCCAAATTTACAGTCAAATTAGTTTCTTCACACCAATTCGAGAGCACCTGCAGGGCCTTATTTAAACGGCTTTCAATAAAGTTTTTTTGCACCATGTTTTGGAGCTTCGGTCCAAATTATCAAATCATCAGCAAATAGTAGGCAATTAATACTAGGTATTGATTTAAGATGCAATGTAGATCTACCTACTCGTGGTTCACCCTGGAAATGCTTTGTGGCTAAATGATCTACAGTTTTGGATTGGATTATTTACTTATGGCAAAGCACACGAAGGCTATCTGCCTAAAGGGAGGGATGCCTTCGTGGAGGACTTTCTAAGGGAAACTGGCTCGTATACACGTTACACATGGGGAAAACCACGAAAACACCCATGCAGCCAGCCCGTTCGCGGGATTCGAACCTCGGACCGAACTACCAGTGTTCAGCGTCTTTACCGCTCGGCCGCTGGTGGGCCGATCTACAGTTTTGACATGCAGCCTTCCTACTCTGTAAATATTTAAAACATTATAATCTCAGGCAGACAAAGCAAGTTTTATTAATGTGTTACGTTGCAATCTACCAAGCTGTAGTGAGAACGAATGTCAATTACATTTGCTATTATTATACTGCTTTAGTGTTATCAGAATTTAGGCTAAAAGATGAGACAATAATTTCCCTGCATTCTGGGAAGATGAAGATTAAAAACAGTTACACTTTTAAATTAGTGACATCAAGTTTACCTTACAATGTGAGGTGCCAAAACAATTCTGCAACTTTAAACATTTGGCTGAGTAGTTGACTTAAAATAGCTAAGAATTAAATTTTTTAATCTTATATTATTCAGCCAGAAACTCCTTTTTCAGATGTGTTGTGTTGCATGATAATGTATATTGAGCTGCTTCTGCCCAAAAATAAGTTTGTGTAGTCAGTCATCTTGCATGCTTTTTAATTCATTTTGCAGTTATTTTCATGCAATGGAAGAGCTAAAAGGAATGTGACATCTACTCTTAGAGCAAAAAGCAGACCTCTACAAGACCTCTCTTTAAATACCTGTCACAACTGCATTCTTAAGAAAGAAAGTTGCATCAGTGTATGCTTTACAATATTTCTATTTCGTTAAATACACTCTGATTACTTAATTGTCATACTGTGAATATACATGAAAACTTTGATTACTCAAACTTCAAGAAGTGGGAATTTTCAATGGAATGATTTTCGGAACTAGGAATTCAATGGTAAGTCAACACGAATATCGAAACATAGCATTAAAACTGATTTTAATTTGAATTTTCGGTATTTGTTTTTTGAAGGGTGTGTCCCTTTTAGCTTATTGCAATTTAACTATATTTGGACTGATTCTTAATTCACTATAAAGCAAAAATTTTATAAACTATATACTTCTTTTGCAGCTCATAGTTTCAAATTAAGTTTCTAACAAATTAAAATAAGCTTTAAGAGTTTGACGTTAGAATTTAAGAGACTGACAGTTTTGGTCATATTGCATCTTTTAGTAAAAATATATGAGCAATTAAAAAGAAAATGTGTCAAATAGTTTTTTTCCCTCATACTATTACAGATAATTTTTAAAATATGCTCTCTAATATGGCAATTACTGGTTTTAAAAATTGTCAGTGTTATATGATTTAGATTACTTGCACCCGATTTTAAAATTAGATCACTAAGTGGGATATAACAAACTTTTCTAGTCAGCATGTTTTTGCTGACTAGAAAAGTTTGGAGATGCTTTTGCAAATGGGTTTGGGAGATCACTCTATCATTTAGCAAACAGGTTATTGATCAACTAATGAAAAAGCCTTAGATAAATATTTTCTTTATCCAACCCCTGTAGACTCCAAAAGGCATAATCAAAATTTCTTTCTTCTCTCTTATTTTTTTAAAAATTTATGGTATGTAACTAGTATAATAAACTGATCTATTAGCACTTAGCACTTATAGACATAAAATTTTAAGGTTGTTGTTACAATATATGGTCTATTATTATGCATAGAAAAGCTTGAAATACACACTTTCATATATAAAGAAGAAACAAATGTAAATGTATATAGCTTACGTCATAGGAAGTATTATCATCAAAACAGCCTTTTCATGTACATGGTATCCAAATAAAAAACTTCCAAAGGAACATAAAATCAGACTGTTTATGAAGACTTTAGGGCTTCCTGGTTTCCTCCATGTAATATAAAACACAGGCTGAAAATCAAAATTATCGTTAGAAAGAAAATATAACAGAATAATATGAAGTTACTAACACATAATTAAAAATACAATAACTTAATATGAGAACAATCAGCTTTCCTAGCATCTCAAGAACAACTATCAGTTTCATTTAAACAGCAAATAAATCCCTTTTGCATACAATTACTTTTATTTTAGGTAAATTAAATGTATTCTGCAACAATTTCACAAAAACACTTAGCATTGCATTTCACAGAAGAATAAGCTCTCCCATTAAATTTAAGCTACATAGTAGAATAAATCCTTAACTGACTGAAATTTCACAATATAAATTAAAAATTGTCATTAATTTTGAAAATACAATACTCAAATACAAAACACTAATTTAGTAAATATAAATTTTAATATATAACTAACTTAATCCACATATTGCGTACATATGTACCACATATTGCGTCCAAAATCCGAAACCAGGAAAAACAAGTCAGTTTTCAATCACTCTCTTCTTATCAGCTACATCAGTCTTTGTTACAATAGGATGCTATATATGTTGATGATATTCTCAACAACACTCTCTATATTTTTTTTTAATTTAAAGTAATAAAATAATTTGTTGCTCTGCTATTGTACTACTGGATGCTCAGAAAGAATTGATGCATAAAAAAATATTGGTTTTAGCTTTCACAGGCCCATCATTTTTATACATAAAGCATTTTTATAGATTGTATTTTCTTTCCATTTACATCATTTCTGCTTTCTTTTGCATTAGAATTTCTTAGGCATGGTAATATTTATATAGATAATACTGTTTTTGGCTTGCATTGGGTAGTAAGATAATCTTGAATATAACGAATATTATGTTATTTAAACATTGTTTCTTAACTTTTTAATGAAATATATAAAATTATATCTTATAGCATGGTTGAATTATGTATATTGATTATGATTATTTGAAGAGTTATTTAAAAATGGAAAATTGAATGATTTTATTAACATAATTTTAAATTACTTAAAATAATTAAATTATTAATTAAATAATTTTAAATTATTAATTAAATAATTTTAAATAATTTTAGATTTCTTAAAATTAATTTAATTTAATACTTTTATAGGCAAGTAAAATCAATGTTTATATTGTATGCTAATCACTTGTTAACGATCATCATAAAATATTCATGAAATATATTTTTGAGGATGAAAAACTTAGCCCTTTCAACTGTTTGTTATTATTTATTAAGCTAGAGTGAATTGTGAAAATTTCATTTTTTAATAATTTATTTAAATAATAATTAAATAATTTAAATAATAATCATTTTCAAGATCATACACATACAGGCCTTTTTTTAAAAATTTTATTCTTATATTTATCTTTACTCTATGAAAGCTACTAAAATGGATGAAATGTTTACCTGTTTAGTAATGTTTACCAGGAAAAATCAAAGGAGTATGTATTTCTGCGTATATCACTTATATCACAGAGAAGATAACTGTGTGACAAAAATTTTTAATTTAATCACAAAGTGGTACTTTTATTAGCATGTTTAAAACAGTGAAAAACATATAGAGTTACATGTGATTAGCAGTTTGACAGGGGTGATAAAAATAAGCGAGGAAGGAAAGCTTATAAGTGAAATGGCTTTAAATGGTCTTGCAGTCAGGGTTACTGATAACCACTCCATTACCCCTACCTCTATGGTAATTACTCTGCACAACATTTGGTTTCCAGTATTAAAAATATTGTTTTAGAAGTTTTCTTTTCATTGTGAATTATTTGAATTGCAGTCATAAATACATCAACATATCCCTGCTTCTCAAGTATATATGGCTAATTTAATGGATTTAGAATTTTATGCTTGTAAAACGCATACAAAATAAAAAGTGTCCATCCAGCTTTTCATACTGCCTTGAGTAGCATCCACATTTTCTATAAGAATAGTTTTATAATTATCAATCTTTTCGCTAATATATAACAAGAACATAATATTCTATAAATTGATATAATTCTAATAAATATTAGCTCTGTATGTCCCACTTAGATTTACCCTTCACATACAAAAATAATTTCTCTTATCAAAAAAGGCAATCCAAATTCATATTTTAACTGTAAACTATCAATGACTTGATATTTTTCACCATTTTTATATCCTAAATTTGAAATGATATAAATAACAATATTTTACTGCAAAATAACTGCATTACCAAAGATTTTACAGTAGTAGAGAGTCATTATCTATGTAGAACTTATATACTAAGAACATTTACACTAAGACCTGTGAAACAACAGCTTGTATTAACATCACTAAAAATATGAAAAGATAATTCAATATCACATTGTGCTACATATTCTCCTAACCAATAAAAGAAACACCTGTTTTAGGAATTCTGCATGGTCTCAAAATACCATTAAATGCAATGGAATTCTGCACAGTCTCAACGTACCATTGAATGTTCTACATAAAACTGAGTTTAGAATTCTTTAAAAAAGATATACAACAACTAAATTTTGAGACTCCCATTCCATTCAATTAAGAAAACAGCAGAAAAAATACAAGATAGAAATTTTAACTGTATATTCCTTATATAAATCCCACCTAAAATCAAAATCCACCAAATGGGCAAATAATATGAAGGAAAAATGGACTTAGGGTCAAAATAACAACATTACCCTTAAAACAATAACTATTACATCAGTTATAAAAACAATACTAACTTTGTTAAAAGTTAGTTTGAATCTACTAAAAAACCTCTCTTAAAAGCAGAAAAATATGTAAAAATATATATTTTGTTAAGCTTTTTAATAAACTTCAGATTATCTTTTATTACCTCTTTATTCATTGTTTATAATTTTATTATTATGTACCAACTTTTTAATCATACACAGTTGTATCAAACTCAACAAATGCCAGCACAGTGTTACACTTGCATCTACAGTAACCTTCAATCTCGATCAGGTAATATGACAAGAGACACTGCTGTGTTAATATCAGGAGTTGTTGTTTTTGTGTTCACATGTGTATGGTAGTCTGCAATTTTATCATGTGCAAAAAGACAGTACAACACGCTAATGTGGAACTTTGTGTTAAATTGGACAGACACTGAATAAATTTCAGTGCTATTATGGCAGAGAAACAATGAGTTAGTTATACACAATGTTTTGAGCAGGACAAGCACTTCAAAGATACAAGAACACACATCGAACACAATGAGCAATCTAAAAAAACTTCTACAATCATCATCCCCAAAACATGTTACAAGTTCAGGAACTTGTGCAAGCAGATCACCCAAAGACAATGAATGACAATGTACACATTGTTGGTGTGCAAAATGGGCTCATGCAGACAATCTTAACATTTGTTGTGATGCTGCCAAGTTTATTTTCTATCTATTGAGCCCTCGTCAGAATGAACATTGCATCCCAGTATACAAAGATCTCTATATGTGTGCTACATATAACTCATCTTTTATGTACACAATGATCACTGAGGGGAAGATTATTTCAATAATTAATGATTGGTGACTAATATTTACCAAATAGTTCAAATAGTAAACTGCTAAAGTCATAAGCGAAACACATCATATATAAATCACAGCATCAGAAGCTAGAAACTACAGTTTCTATGATATGATACAAATGACAATGACATGATAAACATTCAAATGACAAAAATGTGCAAAGATAAAAATTTTTTAATCTCAAATCTTTTTCAGGAATGGGTGAACTTGAAGATTCAAACATTCAAATGTCCCATCCTTAATTACAATAAAATTAAACCCTTTTTGTGTGTATGTGTAAAATTTTGATTCGTCAGTATAAGTTTTGAAGTGACTATACTTACAATGAATGAAAGTGCAGCAAGAAATAATGTGAAAATTGAAGAAACTGAAGGAAGAATAACATGGTCACATTCTTGCACTAATCCCCTAGTGGAGCATGTCTGGAGCTTTTCATATGCATAAAATTTCAACTGATATGCTATACTAACAGAAAGAAATAAAAATTAATAAAGTTTATTCAAAACAGCAGCTGTATGATTTGTGGCAAAATTCTCACATAACTACATATAACGTCAAGCAAAATTCTCACATAATTATGAAAAAATTTAAATAAAACTACAAAAATAGTACAACATATGATAAACCAGACATTACTAAACATTTAAAAAATTTCCATTCAAAAGATTAGTAGCGAGCAAAGACATATAAAATAATGTGAAATCTTTTTTTTTCCAGAATTTTAGTATGTAAATTTTTTAGTTACTAAAGTATGAAGTCCAAAATCCAGAATCAAAGGGATTTTATTGATTCCAGATTTTAGATCATGCTTAAGTCTAGTAAGGTTATACATAGAAATTAAAATTGAAAAAATTAAATCGTTGTTTATGAATTAATGAAGTATTTATGACCTTAAAAAATCAAAATTTACCAAAAAAAACTGAATATTTATTTGTTTATTAAACATTTCTTTCAATGTAGGTTGTGTAAGCTGTTTTATTTTATTGTCTTAATTAATTCCTTTTGACTTTTATGGATAGACACAGTTTCTTGCTAAGTTACAAAGCTCCAGAATTTACGTTCTGCAAATGCTATATCAAGAATTCTTACTAAAACTATCAAATGAAATCTTTTCATCATTCTCAGCCTCTTTGTTACTTTCTTCATGATCAGTTGCAATATTTTCTGGATTTAAAACCGTATTACAGATTTTGATATCCATTAGTCGATAGATGATGGGGTGCTGTCATCACAGTGGAAACCTTCTGTTGCCTCATCTTCATTTATTATCACTTCTCCCTATCAAGCGAAAAATTTCATCTTTTTGCTTGTGATATTCGAAAACCTTGAAACTTGCAACTATCATGATCCTCACTATGAAAAATAAGAGCTGGCCATAAATTATATCAAGCATTTTTAAAAATAACTGCACACACATTATCCTATGAAACTGCAATCCTTTACACAGCAGAATTTATGTTAAAAACCTGTAATTTCTAATCATCTGCACATCCTTGAAAGGAATTTACCACACAAAGCATTATGTCACCAAAACACAATATCAGCAAAATGCATTTATATGACAATCCAAGTAAGGGTGCAGACACAGCAAACAGGTGGAATTTCTGACTTTCAAATTAAACAGCCAATACTGCTTATTTTTGTTGCATTAAGGGCTCTTTTTTTTTTTTTTTTTTTTCTTGTAAGAAATAGTAATGCGAGTTTGTGAACTGATGAAAAGGAAACCACTGCAATTCTTCAGAAATATGGCATTTTGCCCACCAATTAGAGAATGTAAGAAATCACATTCTGTGAAGCAGTGTTTTGTGAACAAATTTTATGGATCAAAATTTCTACAATTCTCTGATATTTTTTAAGCAAAACAATATGGTTGCATATATGGGTAGAGTAATAGTATGTGCCGCCGAACCGAGATAGTGGTTTTATTTTATTGTCTTAATTAATTCCTTTTGACTTTTATGGATAGACACAGTTTCTTGCTAAGTTACAAAGCTCCAGAATTTACGTTCTGCAAATGCTATATCAAGAATTCTTACTAAAACTATCAAATGAAATCTTTTCATCATTCTCAGCCTCTTTGTTACTTTCTTCATGATCAGTTGCAATATTTTCTGGATTTAAAACCGTATTACAGATTTTGATATCCATTAGTCGATAGATGATGGGGTGCTGTCATCACAGTGGAAACCTTCTGTTGCCTCATCTTCATTTATTATCACTTCTCCCTATCAAGCGAAAAATTTCATCTTTTTGCTTGTGATATTCGAAAACCTTGAAACTTGCAACTATCATGATCCTCACTATGAAAAACAAACAAGCTGCTCAGACAAAGCTGCTGAGATGCCGACTGATATACCAAATGGCTCGGCGTCAAATCCCGAACATTTGTAAATTTATAGTGCCTGTGCGGCATTGGGACACTCTAAATATGTGGCGAGCTAAAATTCCTCCCAAGAGGTCGGTGGCAGGAGAAGAGGGGTGGGAAACTTATGGACCTGGCCCCCTGGCGTGCTCTTTACCAAAACTTAAGGTGGAATTGGGAAAAGTCGTATTGTCGCCTGTATGGTGCCCAAAGTTCTTCCCAATGACAGGCACATCTGACCCCTTAGTATGATGAATATCGTGGGCTTGAGCTGACCTTTGTCAAATAAGAGAGACTGGTAGCAACAACAACAGTGTGTGCAGTGCCAAGTTGTCTGTGATGCCGAATTTCTGCCATTCTCTGATGTTTTTTAAAACAAATTGCAATGCACATGGTGAGAATAACAACAACAAAAAAAAAAAAAAATCTGAAGGCTTTCAGATTTTAAATTACATCCAAAGGGGCATTTTTTTAACATTTTGTGTGTTTCCTTTATTTATTAAATACCATGTTCTTTGCATTTAAACCATAAAATTCCGTTTAATAGCAATGTCGCAAAATAATTTTAAAATTTCCGAGATTCTTAGATTAATTCTTTAGAATTTCTGATACACAGTTCCGTGTGCTCCAGATAAAAAGCTTTTTTTTCCCCCACTTGAGTGCTGCCATTGCTCGCTTTGAAATCCTTGAGTTTGTTAATCAAAAATTCGTTAAAGTTTTACAAATTCTAATTGATAATAAAACAAATTCCAAATTTGGTCTTCCACATGCCCATAATTTGTAGGAGGATTATGTCATTCAAAATTCGATAGCTCTATGTACCATTGTTTTATCACAATGCAAGAAATATACATACATTTATGCAGATTTTTCATTATTTAATTTCTTCAAATATAATATGCAGGACTCTAAAATTTGGTGGCAACAGTTTGAAAAGCGAATCGCTGTTTATAGTGATTCAACGTAAAATCGCAAAACGAAAACTATAGTCCTTCAGGGACAAAGCCAATTTGGACTAGAAAGTATTTTATTATGAATGTTTCTTACATTTTTTATTTTGTTAATTGTTTATCTAATTAAGAGCACTACCATTTTTAAAAAAGGCTATTGTCTTTTGCCTCTTAGCTTGATGAAACATTAGTTGCCAATGGCTGGCGATTCTTCTCAGAGCTGGGCAGATAATCAGAAAGTTCCTTAACCCTTTGCGACACGCATATTTAAAATATATTTTAATCTTTAAAAAAATGCCTTAGAATAAGTCAGATGGACTTACTTAAGTGTCTTTAAGGCTTGAAAAAAATTCTGCACTTTTATTTTTTACGGGGGAAGGTGGGATATCGTTTGTCCCACCATGCAACTAGCACATGTCTTATAGCATATTGGTGTATAGCAGGAAAAAAAAAATCATATGTGGAATGAATAAACAAAATAAAGCATGCATTCTAAAACATTCATAATAAACACACTAAAATGCATTTTCTACGTATCGCATATATGCATGACTTGTAAAATTTTGCATATATATATATTTAATATTTTTAAATTTTAGGAACAAAAGAAAATATTTTCTTGAATATTATTTTAAGATTAAAATTTGATACACATACATATGATACTAAATAAAATATTGAAATTGGCACTTGATTCACAAAACATTTATATATGATTAAAAATGAAAAAAGTCATTTTTCATGAAAACTTTGAAAAAATGTTGTTTCATTCTTTTGTAAGTAAGCATAGGAGGCACTTCACATGTTTCACACATCCAAAATGTCCGTCGTTCTTCTTTCGAATGTGCTGCAATATGCACATCTTTCTCCTGCTCCTTCTCTTTGGCGTGTAACTTATATTTTTTAGTCTCTTTTCTGGTTGTACGAACGGTTTTTTAGTTTTTATTTGAACTGGGGATTTCAGTTCAGTTTTTCAGCTCTTTCTTGCCTGCAAATGCCATTAGACCTTCTATAACTGAGAGACTAAAATCTTTCATTGTGTTTTACATCATGATCGGGTTCGCGAACAAACTTAAATAGAATAAATGTGTTTACTATACTCGCATGTAAAAAGGAAAAAAATATCATGTGCCATCCATTTCTTGCTTTTGCGGTCCTATTTCATATAGTCCTTTCAGTTGATCAATCAAGTCGAACATATCCCATGTTTCTTATTGTATGAAATAGTGCTGTTTGGGCATAGTACTTTTTTTGTCTTTCCATCTCGTTCTTTTCTATTAATTTCTTTCATTTCAGTTGCCTTTTCCAAGCAAGACAGGATAATTAACACAGACAATTTATTGCATAAAATGGAAGGATAGAAACAGATCTTTTATCCTTCCATTTTATGCAATAAATTGAATCCTCGTTAACTGAAAAGTCTATATATTCCCTTGACATAAATTTGTGAGTAGATACTTCCGATTCATATTAACAGTGCCACATGCATAGATGGGTCTGTGTCTTTAAAAAGCGAAACAAATTATAGCTACTTTCCTTTCTTCTTCAGCAATAACTTCAACCTCAGTTATTCTCTCCTGGATTTCAATTTCATCTGAATCAGAACTGACATCTGAAGCATTTGAGTCGCAATCGGTTGGCAATTCAGCAAAAAGATCCAAAGCTTCCTGAGTTATTAATTTTTTTCTAGACATTTTAGCACATCAGAGCATACAACGGATGTAAAAGCGCGCGCAATCACGAAAAAAGTAGATGCAAAAACGAAAAGAAAAAATAATCGTGAGTGCTGCCATCTATTGAGCGGAAATTCTAGTGTGTGGTGGGACAAAATTTTAACCCACTTATTTCAACTTCAAAATTAATGTTATAAAATATTGAATCCAATTAAGATTTTAGAAAATAAAATACCTTTGAATATTAAAAAGAATCATACATATCCTAAATTGCATACCAAAAGTTTTAAAATATTGAAAAATGCGAGATACATGGATATCACTCTTGTGATCCTATTTTGAATATTTTTTGCTTATAAACTGAAGCCCTGGTTAGTAGTGACATCTACTGAGAAAAATAATAAAAATAGATTATTTTTAAAATATTAGAAAATTTCTAATGGAAATTGCTAACTGAGAAAATAAATATTAATTA